GTTCTTGCTCCCTTAGTAGCATATCAAGATTGATAATATATTTGATATGTTATAAAAGTGTTGTTGATGCATATACACACTTATTAAAATATAAGCATGTAAAATAAAATGCATTTAAACCAGGCACTCTCCCAATTATGAGTCAATTCTCAACATAGTAGAATATCATGAATAAATACATATAACCAGAAATCTAAAACGTCAAGCATATAATTGGAAACAGCTCAGGTTTAAATGAAATAGCGTATGGGAATAAACCTCTACCCGATAAAAAATCCATTATAAAAAAGAAGGAAAACTTAGCCCACACTGCTGGAATTCTGAGAAAAACATGTGCTCAGTAACCACTTTTTTTGTTTTTCCTTCTCTGGGATGTAACTGATTTAGCACATGCACTTTTAATCTACCAGAATTTGTTAAGAAAGTTAAGATACCTTCATAACTCAAGAAATCTAAATGCAAATCACTTTGGGTTCTAAAACATGTTCATCATCAGCTACATTAGGAAGTAATCTTCTAACTTTATAAATCTTTTACTTGTTTAAAGGTAAATAACTTTGTATTTATACATTAAATAAAGAAAAAATTTTTAATTGGAAAATGAAACTCGATAATGCCATTAAAAAATTATATTTTATTACAGCACAACCCGCCTACCTACTATGCAAATATTATTTTAAAAATTTATTCTAAGAAATTATGTATGTGTTTCAGATTAATATTTAAGGGAATAAGTTTGCCGAGACCTTTTCTGAACAAACCTTTTGGTTTAATTCTATTATCCGGTGCACACGGAATTTGGCTACTTTTGGCGACTTTATGAAGAGCAGTAAAAACGGGACATATACGATGAGTAGTTAATGGGTCATTCAAAGAAAATATACAGTTAAACATAGTATATGCTATGTATATAGTATATATACTATGTGTGTATATACATATACTATGTGTGTGTAGTATATATATATATATATATAGACGTTATTTGGATCATTTTTGGTGTTGGCAATAATTTTAAAAGTCGTGCCAAGGCTGCACCGTATACTAGAATTTTACCAACCTTTTTAATAGTAAACAAATAAATTTGTCGTCCTTTTGAATATTTGACAAAGGTCTGCTATGAACTGAAAAATGATAGTCAAACAGCTTTCAGCGTTGACAATTTCCCCTATAGAAATTCAAGTAAAACTTTTTTAAAACATCTACTATTTATCAAATTCATTCTGTTAGACAAATTTTTGGGGAAAACTACTGAACATAATATTTTTCATCTTTTATAGATTTTAAAGCTGCTTACCACAGCATATACAACATGAAAAGCTGTTTGAAATTATGCTGGAATTTGGATTTCCAAGAAAATGGATTGATCCATCTAGAATGATTTTAAAGAAAGTAATTTGCAGAGTTAAAATCATGCCTGATCTATCAGAGGCATTTTACACTGAAAGGGACAGGGTGATGTCCTTGAATGAGTGTTTCCCAATATTGCACTTGAAAAGATTATTAGAGATGCTGGAATTAAAACCAGAGGCACCATTTTTCAGAGACCTATACAGTTACTGGTACAATCATCTCGAATAATAATAATATTAAACTTGAAATTGACCTTAGATAACAGATGTTATCATGGTTTAAAGAATTTTTTAGCATCTAAATTATTAAACTTCAAGACAAAAATAAATCTTTATAAAACTCTTATTAGACTATCATATTGTATGGTAGTGAATGTTGGCCATTACAAAAACAGATGAAGGTAGACTTCTAAATTTTGAAAGAAATTACAGCGAAAAATATGTGGCCTAATAGAAAATAACAGATGGAGAATTTTGTTAACCATGAAATATATAGAAGATACGAACAAACTAATATTTTCCGAGTCATCAAATCTTGTCGTATCAGGTGGCTTCGATATATCTTTAGATGCGACAGCTTAAACCCTGTTAAAAATGTGACCTTTTCAAATGTAGAGAGTACCAGAAAAAGAGGAGGACCTTGCAAAAGATGAATAAACTGTATGGAGGCAGATCTCAGGACTCAAAAAGTCAATCGTTGGCAGGCCTTTCGATCTGTTAGAGGAAGCTTGTTGAGTTGAAGCTTGGCCTGTGATAGGCTGCAGTGCAACTGAAGGAGGTTGTATTCATGACAAATATGAAGAAAACAAAAATCAATCCAGCCAAATGTTTCTCTCGGTAATGATCAAACCCTGGACGAAATAAGTAATTTTGGTACAACTCTGATATACGCCCTAATTTCACCAAATGTGGCGATATGTGTTCTGTGCTGGTTTTTGGCACGATTGCGTGTTGTATGGCAATCCTGTTGACGTTGAAAAGTTTTCCCTGGAGTTTGTTGGTTCCCGTCATGCTTTGTGTCTGAGAAGCTGGGGGGGGGGAAAGATTTAATGGTGAAAGTTGTTGAATTGAAGTTCGGCATAAGGAAATATCGTCGTGGTCATCCTGTTGAGGGGCAATGGGTATTTGGAGGTGTGGAAAGAAGGTATGCGAGATTATTTTTAGTGATTGTGCGTGATAGAAGTAGGGATTTGTGATTATTTGTTATTTTATTTATTTGTGAACCATAGTATGAATTTTCTGGATAGTGTGTCTGGCTGTTATATAAATACGATACTAGTGATTACGTGGCAGCATGTTAAAGGCGGTATGAAATTGGTATATCTGCTGTTCGAAGAAGCATCAATGGTAAGTGCATTTTATTTTATTCTTGTTCTTATTTTGTAGAATGTAATGTTCATTGTTTTTTTAGTATGAATTTCTGTCGTTATTGTTTTTTTTTTAATTGTTTGAAATTTATTTTAGTTATTTTGTTGATTAGTGCATACCGTCTGAATTGTGCAATTCGTAGATGTTTTTTAAAGTTGAAACAGAACACTGTGTACATGGTATTCTTTGAAATTTATTGTTGTTATGTTAATTTATTAAAGTGAGGTGCGCGTAGTTCGTAAATTCGTTTGTTGTCTAAGTTGTGCAATTCGTAGATGTTTTTTTTAATTGAAACAGGATGCTGTGTACATGGTATTCTTTGAAATTTATTGTTATGTTAATTTACTAAAGCGAGGTGTGCGTAGTTCGTAAATTCGTTCGTTGCCTAGATTGTGCCATTCGTAATGTTTTTTTAAATTAAAACATATCGCTGTGTACATGGACTCTTGTAAAATAATTTTGGTTAGAAACTTCAGTTTTGCTATCCAAATTTTTTGTTTTTGTTTCGGATTTTTAGCTTAAATTTGTGTGTTACAAAACGTGGTTTTTTGCATTCGCGAAATTTTTTTGGAGGAGACCTTTTAGGGCTTAAAGTTCGAAATGTAGACAAAAAATTTAGATAGCAATATGGCAGCGTGGAGTTTCTCGCCAAAAATATTTGGCGAGAAATTTGGCGCCTTGAGGGCGCATATCAGAGTAGTTCCGTAATTTTCAATTAGTTTATTTATTCAGCCCTCAGCTGCTGCTACATGTATAAATTAGCAAGAAATGTATGAGTTTAATTTTAATCTGCTACATTAGAATTTTACTCAAGTTTATCATTATGCACATTGAAATTCAGGTGTCTGAGAAAATTATGCCCACGAATACTTGTTTTAATTTTACAAAAATTAAAGTAACAAGACACACATATTAATAATTAGAATTTTTTTATGTAAGATTATTTTGTCTCACAAATTCAGCAATTACATTAGTAAGCTGTAGTATTAAATTAATTATTAAAAAAATTAGCAAGCATGGAATCTTTGGATTATGGTAACTTGGCGATTTTTTGGCGACCAACCCTGCTAGTTTTTGTTTGGACGCCATTTTGTTTTCACAAAGTAAAGGCATTTTTTTTTTTTACTCAACAATTTTTTCCAACAATCTGCTAGCCGAATTACACTTACGCTAAAACTTTTATGGAACAAAAGTGCTTAATCATGACGAAGATTAGGTGCGAAATTGGGAGAAAGTGCAGAATCGCCCACTGCTTGCCACGTTTTTAAGAATTGCACATACACGGTATCATCCATGTACACATCGACCTATTTTCACTTTAAAAAAATCCCAGAATTGCACAAAAATGGCATTGCGCACATTTTTGGCTTTATCCGTGTACACTGCTAATGTCCTAGCTAGTAACCTTCACCGCCTTACCAAAATGTCGCCAAACTACCTGTTACCATATTCCAAAGATTAGCCAAATTTACAAATACAAACAATTTTAAGTTTCCAATATAAATGTATGGTTAGATAATAATTTAATTAATATAAATTTAAGATTAGATAAAATATAATTTATAGTATAAGAAGGACTCATATTTACTGCTTACAGATGTTTGTATAACTTGTATTTGCAAGATAAGTAAATCATAGTGCATTATTGGAGTAATTTTTATATATATATTTGCATAATATGCTGTTTATCTGTAAGTAAGTACCTTACTTAATCAGTTATTTTGCCATTTGTTAAAAACACATGTAATAATAATAGATTTCATTATAAAAATCAAAATACAATCTTATATAAAATCTCTGCCAACCTGGGGTTTCCTTCTCCTTTACTAGATATTATATAGTTCCACTTAACTGTTTGCTTTACATGGCTCACTTCTATTATGTATACCTTTTATTTATATATCACCATAAAATGTGAGCAATGCAAAAGGAAAATCTCATAAAAAAAGGTATCCTATAAAAGCAAAGTTTCATTAAGACCAACTGATGTCTTGAACTCAGACCGGAATCAAGGTCCAAATTTCCATCCTTCTTAAACTTCATTGACCAAAAAATTCAAAAAAAAAAAAAAAAAAAAAACACGAGCAGTAACATTTCACAATTTTTTCAGAAAGAAGCATACAGTTACGTACCTTCCATTTTGGTACTAAAGCTTGTCTATCCAGAATTTTGGACCTTTGTTTTCTTTTTTTTTTTTTTTTTTTCAATTACTTTCTTGGAGTATTGAAAACTACTAAAAGTGAAAGCTTTGATTTTTTTTTTTTTTCATTAAGGCTCCAATTACGTCACAAGTTCTTCCTTCATGGGTTTACAAAAATTTTCTTGTTTTTTTCTTTCTTCTTCTTTGGTAGAAAATAAACCACTCTGTTGCTCATCAATTCTTGTGTTTTTCTTTGTCATATCCTTGGGTGTAATGTTCTTGTCAGATGGAAAATCAATTTCAAATTCAGAAAAACTTCCATTCTGGTTACGTGCTTCATCTAATGTTGGCTGCATTGTGTCAAACAATTCTTTAATTGCATCATACTCATCATCAGTTTTTATTGAATCTAACATGAATAAAACGCTTTCCTTCAAAATCTCAATTTTTTCCATCAAAGTTAGAGTTTTGGATGTGGTAAGTGCACTTTTCCCAATATTATGCAAGTCATGTCGAGTGACCAAATGCATACGTGATTGATCTGCTGCAGCAGAGCCTCGAATTTCGCTTAAAATCATTTCAAAAGGAATATCAGCAGCAATTTTAGAAGCTATGTACTTTCTTTCTTCTTTGGAGAGAAACCAATGCTCAATTTCATTTTCATGTCCAACATGAGTTTTTATGTAATGAACATAGCATTTTCCATCAGCTTCATTGACAGTGATACTTGCAGGGCAAAATCCATTTATTTTTTTTGACCCTTGTTGTTTTATTTGTCTAATACCATTGCCTTGCGGAGTATAGACACCAGAACGATGGCAAGCAAAAAAGCGCTTAGTATTTACGTTTGTTTTCTGTACACCACGTTCGACTGAAAAAGTACACTTTCTTTCAGTTTCTATGTTCTTTTTCCAAGCAAGAAATTCTTTAAAAGAAGGGAATTGCAAATCTTCAGTTATAATACATATATCATGAAAGTTTTCAAAATGTTTCAGTAATTCTGGCTTTTTAGACCTAAAATCACATAATGGGCACTTCTTCACACTGCAGTTGTAATTTTTACCATGCTCTGTGCGTTCATGTGCACGAAGCCGATGTGGTTTCGAAAAAATTTTCCCACAATCATCACATGGGTATTTGCCAGCAGTTCTTAATGTAGGAGCTAATTCCTCTAATTTCGAAGGATGGTGTTTTATAATATGCGCCCGTAGATTTCGTCGGAATGAATAAGCTTTTGAGCATTCCAAACATAAAAAATTACTTTCCATAATGATCACATTAAGCATTACAAATAGCTAAACTACACGTTTAATTCAGCATCGCGCGACAGAAGACAAAATTTATCGGAGCAACACGTCTTTAGTCGCCAATCTTATAATATACGGCCAATAGTGTATAGCACACCCTTGTTAAGCATTAAGGCTTTGCTAAAACTACGTGCTTTTACCGACATTTGACTTCGTTGTTCTTTGTTAACGTATTTTACAACTCTTGCGGTAATATACTTAGTGTAGTCTTCTCCTCCGTTGCCTCTGCATTTGTCGGTGCGAGGAAGTGTCTACCCGTACGACGTCGAACGGCTAGCTCAAACCAAAACAGCTTTGGTACATTGGAGGCATGTTCATGCGCAGATGGTCTCTGCGCAACCAGTCGTACGTTCGTTTAGCAGCATTTTTACCATGTTTGAGCCAAAGCTGTATATATAATAAAGCGTCGTCAGCTCAATGGACGAACCTGCGCTTTGTCATGATCGCAGCGCTCCTGGTGGTTGCGCTGTGGAAACACAATTAATTGAACTGCGCATGCTCCCCATTTACAGTTATTTTTGAACGTAATGCCCATGCTGGTTTCAAGAGCTCCTGCATTGATTTTACTCACGTACATTTTTCTTTGCAGTTTCTATCAAACGGATCTTTTCAGACCCAATTTCATTATTATTTTCATTTTTCTGACATAATGGCTTATCGCTACTGCAGATTTAAAGGCTGTAATAGAAAGATTGAATCAAAAAGTGATGGAATACATTTCTACAGATTTCCCAAGGAAGAACAAAGGTTAGTACTAAATTATTTTATGATTTCTTTCCACTTTTGTCATAAAAAATTATTTCGTTAAATGTAATTTATTTGTATCTCATCCTGAACTTTTGCTGAAAAATTTATAAAGTACCTCAAACTCGGAAACAAAAAATTGATATTTAAAAATTCGGCTAAAGTGCAGAATCGCCCATTTATTTGTTTGGCGTTTATTTGCCGGTTCAGAAAACAAAAAAAGTGAAGCTTAGACCTTTTCTTCCCGCAATATTGCACATCCAGAGTTATTTATATTACAGTTCCTTTAGGTTTGGCACATTATAGCCACCTAACCCTGTTAAAAGTAATGGTGTTATTTTTGAAGCAACTTAAAAGTTGTTAATGTATTGCTTTTGTTTGTGATCTGGATAATCAAAAAGTGTTAAGAGAGAAATGTTTGAAACAAAACACATTACAGTACTTTTACAATAACTGCATGCTAGACTAAGCTACTGGCGTGAATTATAATAATAATAAAAAAAAAAAAATGATCTTTGATTGTTAAGGTGAAATGATTGATAAAAGAACATGCTTTTAGTTTGTAAATCTATTTTTAGGAATAGTTTACCAATTATAAAGGTGTAGGCAAAATGCACTGTTTACAATAGTAAACAAAATATGGATGTCCAAATTACAGGTAAACGATTACGTAATTGGAGAATGGGTATCAATAGAATAATGAAGTTGTTTTATCCAAGTGAAGTGATAAAAAGTAAATGACTCTTACTGTGTGAACGTGATGATTCCCGTGGGCCATGAAATTTGCTGTTTTGGTCCCCTTAGATTGAAAAAAATATTGTCAAATTTATTTTTTCTATTCATTTTTGTTATTTGATATGAGAAAAAAAAATCTTATTAGTCCGTATGACATTTTCATGGAGAGGATTGGGGGCAAACCTATAATAAATTGTTCAATGAAGACACTAGTTTTGCTTTCATCTTTTCAGGAAATACAGGCTTCAATTTAAATGTAGGGAAGAGGGATAATTCACATTAATCAATATTTCATTATCTGTTATTTAAAAGTATGCTGGTGTTTCATAGATGCTTAAAAAAGTAAAATTGCTTCATGGAGAGGGGGCAGTATTAGGGTTATCTCCAGAACACTAAATTAATGCAATTTATATTATACATTAAACTAATGCAGTTATGTATGTATAGTTATTTATTTTCCATCTTTTTTTTTGTTTTAGATGTCAAGCTTGGGTCAAGGCTTCGCAGAATGAAAAGCTTGTGGGTGTTCCTGCCTCTGACCTACACAAAAGAGCCTATCTATGTATGGTACATTTTGAAGACTGGTGCTTCGTTAATATCACTACTAAACATCGTTTAGTACACAATGCAGTACCATGTTCTACAAAACTCCAGGTGACAAAGGGTTTGGTTCCAGATAAAGTGCCTGAGTTAAGTCACATGACAGTGCCAAATTCTGTGACAAATGGTTCAGTTCGAGATAAAATGCCCGAGATAAATCATATCACAGTGCCAAGTTCTGAACATCATCAGTCAGATTTTCAACAGGAATTAATATCCAATGTTCAAGGACCCAATAATCTTTATCAAAATGTCTGCTCCACTGAACTTTCAACTTGTAACGCATCTTTAATGTCTCTCATTCCACAGCAGTCATTTTCAACACCAGTGAGCTGTAGCACACACCGAAGTCACATTATTCTGGGAAAAAAATACACACCCAGAAAATCACAATTGTCAAAAAAAGTTAAAAAATATCGTGACATGGCAAGACGGCTGAAATTAAAATTTGTGTCATCTAAGAAGAAATTTTCTACAGCTCATTCTCTTGAAAAAAACCCTTTCCAGTCAAGGAGTTAGTAAAAAATTATCTTCTTTTATTCAACGCCAGGTAACATTGAATACCCAGAAAACAAAAAGAAGACGTTTTTACGCATTCAGATAAAATCGATGCCTACCGCATCTACAGCAAAAGTCGGGCAGCTTATCGTGTTTTGAAAGAGTTCCTTGAACTTCCAGCTGAACGAACTCTTCAACGTTTTGTCTCATCAAAATTGTCATGTACAGGAATCAGTGCAGATATCATATCAGCACTAAAACAAGTTTTACAAAATAAGGAAAATCACGAAAGAATGTTTGCATTGATCTTTGATGAGATGTCATTGAAACCCTGTCTAGTGCATGATAAACAAAATGATCGCATAGTTGGATTTGAGGACTTAGGTGGTTTTCCCAGTGATTCAATTGCAAATCATGTACTAGTATTAATGCTGAGAAGTTTAACCAGCAAGAAGAAACTTCCACTTGGATTTTACTTCTCCAACCATGCAATAAATGCAGAAAGACTGAGAGAAATACTCACAGAAGCTTTAACAAAATTATCGGATGCTAATGCCGTAGTTAAAGCTCTGGTTTGTGACCAGGGGGAAAATAATAGTAGGTTGTTTAGAATTTTAGGAGTGGATTCTCTTAAACCATTCTTTGATTTTAATGGACAGACTATTTATTGTTTGTTTGATCCACCACATCTTTTGAAAAATTTGAGGAGGAATCTTATGAAGTATGACCTGCAGACAAGTAAAGGATTCGTATCTTTCAAATACATTCGAGACTTCCATGAAGTAGATAAAACACTGCTTATCCGCTGTGCACCGAAAATGACTGATGCACACTTAAATACAATGGGATTAAACTCCATGAAAGTTGCTCTTGCTGCACAAGTGTTCAGCCACACAGTAGCAGCAGGAATGAACCTGTGTATTTTGTCTGGACTGATAGAAGCAAGTGCTGCTCCAACAGTAGAGTTCATTCTAAAGATTGACAATTTGTTTGACTCCATGAATGGAACTCGAAAGAATACTTTAAGAGGAAAACAGCTCCATTGTGCAGTGAAAGAAGGTTCTGCACATATTAATTTTTGGAAAGAGATGATAGCATATGTTGAATCATGGTTTTTTTTTTTTGCAACCGCTTGCACAAAACCAAGATGGTCCAAGAAAGCATGCTTCAGGACCACGTAGCAGAATAGGCTGGTTGCAAACTCTCAGAGCAATACTGAAACTTTCTGAAGAAATGTTACATGAACGGGAATATTTTATGACAAAGAGGTGCAATCAGGATTGTCTTGAAAATTTTTTCAGTCGTATCCGAGGGAGTGGGGGCAATCGCACAAATCCATCTGCTTATGAATTTTCTTCACTTTTCAAGATTGCATGTGTAAATTCTTTCCGTAACACAAATAAGTTTTCAAATTGTGAGCCAGATGGGGATAAATTTATGTTTTTCATTTTGTCTGCAGTACCATCAACTACAATTGAGGAAAATGAAGTACAGAAGGAGGAGGTGAAAGAAGGACAAATTACAAGTAATGATGATTTTGATGACTCTCTTGTCATTGATTTTGATTCCCCTTGTCAGGATGCATGTTTTGAAAGACTTGATAATTTGTCACAAAATGTTGTTGCTTATCTGAGTGGATATTTATCCAGAAAGGTATTATATTCCTTGAATCTTAATGAGTGTGATATATGCAGTATTTCACTGACAGACAGAACAAAGCCAATGCTGCAGCATACTCTATTTTTATACCTTAAAGAATATAAAAATCAGGATATAACGGAAGGAGGATTGACACATCCGTCAGAAAGCATGACAAAATGCATTGCTGAACTTCTTCAGAAAGCAAATAATTTTTTCTCCCACCACTTGCCAATATGTAACATTTTGCAAAATCTGAAAAATGTGTTATCACAGTTACCAGTGTTTCAGTTTTTGTGCTGTGAACTTCATTCAAATGATGTTAAAAAGAAGATTGTATCTTTTGCCTCTGCTTTTTTTTTAAAAATTCATCTTCGGGAAAAAAATAGAAAAATTAGTAAATATAACACAGATCTGAAAAAACTACAAAAGGGGAAACATTAATAGAAATGTAATTAACTAAATTAAAAGCAAAGGGTGTATGTGCTACTTTGTGTTTTTTTTTTTTCATATTATTATTATGTATTCATGGTTAGTATGCTACAATAATGTGCGAAATATATATTCTTTCTGTTGTAAACATTGTGTGCATATTCCTCATGGATATTTCTTTTCATTTAACCTACTGCTTAAACCATTATACTATTTTATTATTCATATTGTATATTACTATTGTAAAGCTGTCATTCTTTATGCTCTATATTGCAAACAACGTAATTTAATGTATTGATAAAAATAAAAAATAA